GGTCAGGCCGAGGGCCTCGGCGTCCGGGTCGGAGTCCTCGGCGTCTGGGCCGCGCGCCGGATCTGGTTCTTTTTCCCTTTTTTTTTCTTTCCTAAGACTCCTAACCAAAGTGGGCGGCCTGGGGGAAGTTGAATCACTCGGAGAAACCTCTCCAAGAAAGAAAACCTGAATCACACCAGACTGCCCCAAAGATACCCTCACGCGGCGTTTGAAGAGTGCCGTCTCCCGGTGCTCCCGGCTCCCTCCCACCCCTCTCCCCACACATAACAAGGTCTGTTTTAAATGATACTTTGTTACGTTTTCTTTTCCCCACCTGTCATTATACCAAAAGAACTTCCTGGGTCTCCATAAACCGTGACGACCCTAGTGTTGTGCGCCCTCCTCCAGGAAGCCTCCTCCCTGACCAGCCTCCCCCAGCTCTATCAGGCTGATATCCTGGCTCCTAGCACCCGGTGTTTCTCTATCCTGAATGTCTGGGTCTCTGCGTTGTGGCCAGGTAAAGCTTGTCCCCCCAGCCCACTGGAGTGCAGACACTATGCGGGAAATGAATGACTCACATTCCAGGGAAGTGATGTCTTGTCCTATTATGGCTTCTTTGGTGGCTTGTGGTGGGTCCTCTTTTTTTGCTTGTTTTGTTTTTTTCCGCCCATCTCTCCCCTTTCTGGGCCTTGCTCTCGTCTCCTGTAAGGAGGACAATAATGACAGCAGGCATTACTGCCAGGCCTAGCCCACTTTCCCAGGTAGTCCCTTATTCATGCCCCACCCATCCATCTTATGGATGTAGGCAAGCACAACCCTACTCCCTGCCCCTCACCACATCTTATATATGGGAAGATGGCTCAGGGAGGCTGATTCTTGCCCAGGAGCAGGACTGGGACCTGCATGAGCCACACTCAGGCAGGTGGTGTGGTGCCTGTGCCTGGAGGGCACATATGGTTCAGCTTAAGCCAATCTTCTGTGGCTATGTGTCATTTCCACGGTGTGATTATTGCCACTGCCACAGGAGGTCCTGTCACTGAGCAGATGGCACTGCTTGGGACTGGTGCCCTTGGCTTCCAACCAGTTGGCCCCCTTAGTACATACCTGCTGATCTTACCACCTCCCCCCTTAGAGTCATACCCTAGTCAAGAAGACAATGTGCCACATAAATAACCATGGCTGTGACTTTGCATGCATTTATTTCTTTCACCACCTCCAAGCCTGAGAGCCTTTCATGAGGCAGCACTCCTAGGCCACTTTTGGTTTTAGCTTTTGCTCCATGAAGATCTAGTAATTTCTGCCCCACCATGGGGCAGCAGGAACTGAGAAGAAAGGGTCTCTTTGTATCATCTCTATTTCCTAGATGGAGAAACTGAAGTTCAGAGAGCTTGGGGACTCCCCAAATCCACACAGCTGATAAGTGGCAGAGCAGGGCCTTGAACTCTGGCAGGCTGGCTCTGCTGTGTTGGGCTGTGAGGTAGAGGTGTGGGAGTGGGAGAGGAGAGGCCAGCAGGCTCAGACAAGGCCACAGGGTCTCCAGCACAGAGTTCAAGTCCTGTTTCGTGACCCAGGAAGTCACAGAGCTCTGCCCCAGCTTCCCCAGGACACGTGGGGCTAACTGTAGTGCACTCCCTCATGGGACTGCTGCCAGGACACCAC